GGTTCAGACTACATGATATTTTTGTCGGTCATGATAGTCACTGATAGTTGATATCACACGATAGTTGATAGCAACACTATCAATGCCTAACCAGAGCCTGCGGTGGTCAGGTGATACAGCGGTCACATGGTGCAAGTCGTAGCTCTCAGAAAACTCCCAGTTCACAAGTTGTAATTACGAGTTCTACGAGGACGTGAACGCTTTTTACAAGTTGGAATCTTGTAATTATGGGAATTCCGATATGGCGTGAACCCACCTTTAGCCTATGGGTTTTTTTTTTCCTCTCAAAACGCAATTTTATACAAGTAAAGTTAGCATTGTTTAACAATGCAGCAAACATTTTTAAAATCCTTGAAAAAATACTTTAATGTCTTTAAAGCGTTAACAGATTTTTTGTTTGGTAGGCTACATTTGGCTAAAATCTAGAAAAGACAATGCTTTATTGGCTATGATTAAGGGCAGCGGGTTAAGATACCAGATTTTCATTTTTTTTGTTTGCTTTTTTTCTTTTTGAGTAAAGAAAATGCTGTATTATTATTATTATTATTATTATTATTATAGGAAAAGAAAAAGCTTAAAAAATAATGTAAGTAACCGGTTTCGGAACGATAATAATACATGAGGAACGCAGGAAAAGAAACATTTAAATATTGTTTCTGCTCGGAGTGAACCGATTTATTTTTTATTTTTTTTATTAGTTTTTTTAGTTTTCAAGCCCTGATATATATATATATTTAATTGTGATATTTAAATATGACAAGAATTTATTTATTTGTCTCATCTAGGTTTGTGAACTGGAGTTTGGATTTCGTGGAAATGAAATGCAGCACATTGTGACCACAGTTCCTAAAGTTTTAATCGCTAATAAAAGAAAACTCACCCAAATATTTGACTTCATTCACAACACCATGGATGTTCCACACTCGCTTATTGCAAAGTTCCCACAGGTACATGTTGTTTTGTCGTTTCATAAGTCAAGGCATTGTTCAGTTTGAAACCCTATGAATGCAAATTTAGAGTTTATTTATAAATTTAGAGTTGTGATTGTATGTAGATATAGGATGATCATTTAACTGAGGCACTTATCATAGTATTTCCCCTCAATCAGAAAAGAGAAATAACTGGTGTATTCTGCTGTATTAAATGGTAAATCATGTCTTTGTGTTGTTTTCCATGCAGTGTAACGTGAGTTTACTTTGTACTGTGCAACATGCTAATTGTTTTTTTGTTTTGTTTTTTGACTTCTCAAAGGTCCTTAATGCCAAATTCCTTCGCATCCGGGAGCATTAGTTTTTTTAGTTTTCAAGCCCTGATATATATATATATTTAATTGTGATATTTAAATATGACAAGAATTTATTTATTTGTCTCATCTAGGTTTGTGAACTGGAGTTTGGATTTCGTGGAAATGAAATGCAGCACATTGTGACCACAGTTCCTAAAGTTTTAATCGCTAATAAAAGAAAACTCACCCAAATATTTGACTTCATTCACAACACCATGGATGTTCCACACTCGCTTATTGCAAAGTTCCCACAGGTACATATTGTTTTGTCGTTTCATAAGTCAAGGCATTGTTCAGTTTGAAACCCTATGAATGCAAATTTAGAGTTTATTTATAAATTTAGAGTTGTGATTGTATGTAGATATAGGATGATCATTTAACTGAGGCACTTTGCATAGTATTTCCCCTCAATCAGAAAAGAGAAATAACTGGTGTATTCTGCTGTATTAAATGGTAAATCATGTCTTTGTGTTGTTTTCCATGCAGTGTAACATGAGTTTACTTTGTACTGTGCAACATGCTAATTGTTTTTTTGTTTTGTTTTTTGACTTCTCAAAGGTCCTTAATGCCAAATTCCTTCGCATCCGGGAGCGACACTTGTTTCTAGAGTACTTAGGCCGGGCCCAGTATCAACCATCTCAACCCAACTACATCTCCTTGGATCGCTTGGTGTTCCTGCCTGATGATGTTTTCTGCTCAGAAGTAGCATTGGCCACTCTTGAAGACTTTGAAAGATTTCAGAAAACGTTGTAGATAGTTAATAGTTGTGTTGTATGAACATAGTTTTATAAATAAAAGTTGAACTGGACATACCACCTATTCATTTTGATCCTGTAATGATATATTCCAGTTTAATAGGAGGTTGCCAAAGTCGAGATCAAAAACCAAATTTGCCATATATACATTTTATGCGAAAAGCTGTAAAGTTCATATTTTTTCCCATTCTTTTTTTGTGCGTGTTTTTGTGAATGTAAAGTTATTAATCTCACAGAAAATACACACAGGAAGTCACTTTAATTTTAATTAAAACTTTAATTAATTAACGTCTGACCTCAGGACTTTTTTAAACCTCAGAGATCTTAGAGAGGAAGATAATATCCTCCACACCTCATGCACTTGAGGTATATGATTTGGTCTATTCTGACAGAATAATGTTTTTAAATATTACAACCTCCATGTATAAGAAAAATAGGGGAACAGAATCAGATGGCTTGAAATCCAGCTGTCGGAATGCGTTGCTCCAGTCCCACGGAGAGGCATGTTGGTGTAGAAGCTTAAAAACTAGTATACTACTGTTTACGTAGCATCGCTACAGGAAACACCAACCAAAGCGAGAAACAGATCAAGAAAAATTATTAAAAACTTTAAATCTTTCTAAAAAAAAAATGTGACAGCCAGTGATCCCATGCTGAGAAAAGCCGATTGCGTAATCACCGGACGAGACGTCACATATCCCACAATCCTGTGCGACTGAACACTAGAAATGGCGTCGAGGGCACCAGGTAAAATGTTATTGTGTGAGCGTTTTGGAAGAATTAGTTGCCATCACGTTAAAGAGTTAATTTATAACTATCTGCTTTGTGTGCTACTCGTAGGACTGTTTATAGACGAGGTAGTTAGTTTTGTGATGTAAAGCACTGATGTCCTCTACCAGTGGGCTGTACGTTACCAGTCGAAATATGACTTTGTGCTGTTTCATTCCCACATGTCATTTATAGTAACTGTTTATTTGTGTCCTAATTATTGTAAACGATACATAAGGAAGCAATAAATCCTCCGTGATTCACTCACTGATTGTTAACCGGGCGTACAGGCTGTTCACTGACTCTAATGTCAGCGGTGACATGCTTATCAGTGAGTCTTCTGCTATAATAACCCAGTCCACAACTGCCTAAGGTCCGTTAACCACAGAATACGTTTAAGTCATGTTGCTTTAAGGACAGGGTGCTGGGTCGATATATCTACTTGTCTCGTTCCATATCTCAAATGTAGGATGTTATGTATTTTCCTGTCCCTGTACAGCTGCAACCAGCAGGCTCATGGTGGGCTTCAGGAAGTGGTACTACAATGCATGCGGTTTCAACAAACTTGGTAAGCAGTACTTGCAGACAAAGCATTGTTAAGAACTTGTGACCTTCATGGATTGATATTTACATTGAAACATACATATATGCAAATGTGTCTCATTACATGTCATATAGGCTTGATGCGGGATGATACCATCAATGAGAACAATGATGTGAAAGAAGCCATTCGTCGGCTCCCAGAACAGGTTTACAATGACAGAATGTTCCGCCTCAAGAGAGCTCTGGATCTTTCAATGAAACAACAGATTCTTCCCAAGGACCAGTGGACTAAACACGAGGCGGTGAGAAAGCATGTCAGCTGATTGTATACTAATTTTAGCTGCTTTTTCTTTGTGTATTGTGCCTAAATGTTTTATGACCCAAAGATTTTTAAATAATGTTCCAGATTCTTATATATTTTGTATATTTTTAGAATTTTAAATTTTAAGTGATTAGTTCACTAAAAGGAAAAAAAATGTCCATGTTTTGTCATGGAGTACAAACGTAGATTGTTTGAAAAGCATGCATGCGCTCTTTTTCATATAATAAAAGTGAATAGGGACAGCCACTGAGTGTCTTAAATGAAAGAATGAAAACTATTTTTGTGCATTTGCACATTTCAGAATGTAGTGCATGAGTCATAAGGAAGTACTCATTTAAAATTTTTCTGTATAGGATTTTATTCACTATTTTTTTATTCATTAGATATTATTTATGGGGTTAAAATGTGATTTGTTAATGTACATCTGCTTCAAATGTTTTGAACAATTCATATTGTTCCTTGTAGGATGTGCATTACCTTGAGCCCTATCTGGAGGAGGTTGTTCATGAAAGGAAGGAAAAAGAGGAGTGGGCGAAGAAGTAGGATGCGTGTGATGAGACTAAAGCTCATTTTTGGTGTGATGTCTGGTGTCTTGTATTTAAGAGAAAATAAAAGAAAACTCACCCAAATATTTGACTTCATTCACAACACCATGGATGTTCCACACTCGCTTATTGCAAAGTTCCCACAGGTACATGTTGTTTTGTCGTTTCATAAGTCAAGGCATTGTTCAGTTTGAAACCCTATGAATGCAAATTTAGAGTTTATTTATAAATTTAGAGTTGTGATTGTATGTAGATATAGGATGATCATTTAACTGAGGCACTTATCATAGTATTTCCCCTCAATCAGAAAAGAGAAATAACTGGTGTATTCTGCTGTATTAAATGGTAAATCATGTCTTTGTGTTGTTTTCCATGCAGTGTAACATGAGTTTACTTTGTACTGTGCAACATGCTAATTGTTTTTTTGTTTTGTTTTTTGACTTCTCAAAGGTCCTTAATGCCAAATTCCTTCGCATCCGGGAGAGACACTTGTTTCTAGAGTACTTAGGCCGGGCCCAGTATCAACCATCTCAACCCAACTACATCTCCTTGGATCGCTTGGTGTTCCTGCCTGATGATGTTTTCTGCTCAGAAGTAGCATTGGCCACTCTTGAAGACTTTGAAAGATTTCAGAAAACGTTGTAGATAGTTAATAGTTGTGTTGTATGAACATAGTTTTATAAATAAAAGTTGAACTGGACATACCACCTATTCATTTTGATCCTGTAATGATATATTCCAGTTTAATAGGAGGTTGCCAAAGTCGAGATCAAAAACCAAATTTGCCATATATACATTTTATGCGAAAAGCTGTAAAGTTCATATTTTTTCCCATTCTTTTTTTGTGCGTGTTTTTGTGAATGTAAAGTTATTAATCTCACAGAAAATACACACAGGAAGTCACTTTAATTTTAATTAAAACTTTAATTAATTAACGTCTGACCTCAGGACTTTTTTAAACCTCAGAGATCTTAGAGAGGAAGATAATATCCTCCACACCTCATGCACTTGAGGTATATGATTTGGTCTATTCTGACAGAATAATGATTTTAAATATTACAACCTCCATGTATAAGAAAAATAGGGGAACAGAATCAGATGGCTTGAAATCCAGCTGTCGGAATGCGTTGCTCCAGTCCCACGGAGAGGCATGTTGGTGTAGAAGCTTAAAAACTAGTATACTACTGTTTACGTAGCATCGCTACAGGAAACACCAACCAAAGCGAGAAACAGATCAAGAAAAATTATTAAAAACTTTAAATCTTTCTAAAAAAAAATGTGACAGCCAGTGGTCCCATGCTGAGAAAAGCAGATTGCGTAATCACCGGACGAGACGTCACATATCCCACAATCCTGTGCGACTGAACACTAGAAATGGCGTCGAGGGCACCAGGTAAAATGTTATTGTGTGAGCGTTTTGGAAAATTTCGAGCGTATGAATTAGTTGCCATCACTTTAAAGAGTTAATTTATAACTATCTGCTTTGTGTGCTACTCGTAGGACTGTTTATAGACGAGGTAGCTAGTTTTGTGATGTAAAGCACTGATGTCCTCTACCAGTGGGCTGTACGTTACCAGTCGAAATATGACTTTGTGCTGTTTCATTCCCACATGTCATTTATAGTAACTGTTTATTTGTGTCCTAATTATTGTAAACGATACATAAGGAAGCAATAAATCCTCCGTGATTCACTCACTGATTGTTAACCGGGCGTACAGGCTGTTCACTGACTCTAATGTCAGCGGTGACATGCTTATCAGTGAGTCTTCTGCTATAATAACCCAGTCCACAACTGCCTAAGGTCCGTTAACCACAGAATACGTTTAAGTCATGTTGCTTTAAGGACAGGGTGCTGGGTCGATATATCTACTTGTCTCGTTCCATATCTCAAATGTAGGATGTTATGTATTTTCCTGTCCCTGTACAGCTGCAACCAGCAGGCTCATGGTGGGCTTCAGGAAGTGGTACTACAATGCATGCGGTTTCAACAAACTTGGTAAGCAGTACTTGCAGACAAAGCATTGTTAAGAACTTGTGACCTTCATGGATTGATATTTACATTGAAACATACATATATGCAAATGTGTCTCATTACATGTCATATAGGCTTGATGCGGGATGATACCATCAATGAGAACAATGATGTGAAAGAAGCCATTCGTCGGCTCCCAGAACAGGTTTACAATGACAGAATGTTCCGCCTCAAGAGAGCTCTGGATCTTTCAATGAAACAACAGATTCTTCCCAAGGACCAGTGGACTAAACACGAGGCGGTGAGAAAGCATGTCAGCTGATTGTATACTAATTTTAGCTGCTTTTTCTTTGTGTATTGTGCCTAAATGTTTTATGACCCAAAGATTTTTAAATAATGTTCCAGATTCTTATATATTTTGTATATTTTTAGAATTTTAAATTTTAAGTGATTAGTTCACTAAAAGGAAAAAAAATGTCCATGTTTTGTCATGGAGTACAAACGTAGATTGTTTGAAAAGCATGCATGCGCTCTTTTTCATATAATAAAAGTGAATAGGGACAGCCACTGAGTGTCTTAAATGAAAGAATGAAAACTATTTTTGTGCATTTGCACATTTCAGAATGTAGTGCATGAGTCATAAGGAAGTACTCATTTAAAATTTTTCTGTATAGGATTTTATTCACTATTTTTTACAGTCACGAGGGACGGGCAGCTCAACATATCTGTAAGACAATATATAATACAATCAGATTACAAAAAAACAACCAAACAGTTAACAACAATGAACACGGTTTTACTTTACCTCAATGCAGGAAAACCCAGAGCCAGCATATTAAAAAGATGGTGCAGAGCAGCTGTGCTCAGTGGATTACCCAGGATCTTCAATTCCTGTAGCCTGTGACAGGGTGTCAGTGCTAGGGTGAGCAGATCCAGTTTGTCATCATCCAGTCCACACTCCTCCAGACCCACACTAGTGAGTGTGGCACAACAGCGATGCAGAAGCTTCCGGAAGGTGTTGGGGAACAGGTCAGCTACCTCATGACCACTCAGGTCCAGCTTTACTATGTGCTCACTGTGCAGGCTGTTGGCGAAGTAGGCCATGTCCACTGCATTAAGACTGCAGTTCGCTAACTCGATACACTGCAGCGGAGTGTTCAGTGGACTGGCAAAACAGACCGATAATACAAACAAACAGATTATAGTTACTCAAAACAAGTGAGTAATTAAGATTAAGCATCAAACTGCAACACTGGAATTTACACCAAATTCAGTAAACAATACTATCAATGAATCACATGTTATATTATATAATATTATGTATACATTAATATTAAAAACATTTAATTAATTTAAACAATTTGACAAAATGCTGCATTGAGATCTCTGAAAAAAAGTTGAGTGAGCAATAAAGATTTTTGCAACTCTGCTGCACATGATCTATACATCTAGAAGTCTCATACTTACCAAGACTGCATTTATTTGATCAAAAATACAGTAAAATGGTAATATTGTGAAATATTAAGATTTAAAATAACTGTTTTCCATTTTAATATTTTTAAAATGGTGGCAAAGATGAATTTTCAGCAGCCATTACTAGTCTTCAGTGTCACATGATAATATATATAATAATAATAATTAAAAAAAAAAAAACATTTTTATTGTTTCTATAATCAATGTTAAAAACCATTGTGCTGTTTCATTTTCTGTGAAAACCATATTTTTTTTTACTCTTTGATGAATAGGAGGTTCAAAAGATCAGCATTTATTAGAATTTTTTTTGTTACATTATAAATGTCTTTACTGTCACTTTATCAATGTAATGCACCTTTGATGAATAGAAGTATTCTTTATTTAAAAAAATTAATGACCTCAACATTTCTAACAGTAGTGTGTATATATATACAAATCTATTATATACAACGGGAAACTTATACTTTTTCTATAATCAATGTTAAAAACCATTGTGCTGTTTCATTTTCTGTGAAAACCATATTTTTTTTTACTCTTTGATGAATAGGAGGTTCAAAAGATCAGCATTTATTAGAATTTTTTTGTTACATTATAAATGTCTTTACTGTCACTTTATCAATGTAATGCACCTTTGATGAATAGAAGTATTCTTTATTTAAAAAAATTAATGACCTCAAAATTTCTAACAGTAGTGTGTATATATATACAAATCTATTATATACAACGGGAAACTTATACTTCACTATTAAATCCATATAAAGTCTCAGGTATATTATTAAACATGCTACATCTGCTTCTGGGGTGAATTCATATCTTATGCATCAGCACCTATGACACGTGATGTTTTGACTATTATAAGACATGTGTGCTGCTATTTACAGTAAATATAGAACATATTGTGTTGCCAGAGTCATGTCCTGGCCTACTTTGGGTTTGCAATGGGACAGCTGTCTGCAGACTAGCAGTTACACAACAAATATGCAACAACAACAGCATGCAAGACATGGCTTGATAAACAGTTGATTAGACGGCAAACAGTCAAATAAGAATGTCAGATCGTATATCTAAGTGAAAGATACCTTATACACTACCATCCAAAAGGCTGTCAGTAAAAAAAAAAAAGTGTATCATGGTTTACACAAAAATATTAAGCAGCACTGTTTTCAACATTGATAATAAGAAGAAATGTTTCTTGAGCACCAAATCAGCATATTAGAATGATTTTCTAATAGAATGAAGGATCATGTTACACTGGAGACTGGAGTAATGGCTGCTGAAAATTCAGCTTTGCCAGCACAGCAATAAATTACATTTTTAAATATATTAAAATAGAAAATAGTTATTTTGAATTAAATAATTTGAATTTAACGACAACAAAAAAAATACATACAATATTTTATCAGATAATTGCAGCCTTGGTGAACATAAGACTTTAAAAAATAATAATTTACTGACCCCAAACTAGTGCATATATGACCTATGTGTATGAGTTTAAATGGCAGCTGTGGTCACATTTTGGTTTTATAGTCCTTACCTCAGCAGTTTCCTCAGATGCCCTGTAAGAGTGGAGAACCCCAGATAGAGCTCTCTCAGTTCAGTCAGTTTGCTCATCAGCTCACCCAGAACTCCCATGAGGCCTTCGTCTTCCAGAGCCAATCTGTGTACATTCAAAGCCTGAGCAGGAAACGTGAGCGAGCGCAGCTGAGGGAACTTCAGCTGGGAGAGCAGTACCTCAATGTGTGGAGCCTCCAGATGTACATTGTGCACCACTTCCAGCTTCTGCAGGCCATGTGATTCCACCAGCTTCAGGAGGTAAAAGAGGTTCCTGAGGCTCAGCGAGTCCACACGCAGGCCTACGAAGTGCAGCTTTAACGGGCAATGTCTGCGCAGCAACAGAGCCTGAGCCACCACCTCGTAGTTCCTACCAGTAACAAAAGCATCCAAGCGGACATCTACCTCCACATCAACCGCTGATGGTGCTGCTTGGCCGGCCTGCATGGACACCATAGTCTCGTAGCACATGCGGGTAAGTAGTTCAGTTCGTGCCCAACGGCCAAGAGTCCGTCTGCAGGGACAGACCTGGTGTTCTATGTCTTGCAGACCAATTAGATCCACCACACGTAGCATTTTTGTATACGTGCTTGGAGCTTGAAGCACATAGTCCCTCAGACCTGTGAGAATGGCCTCCAGACAGAGCCTGCAGGTGCGAGACGTGAGATCGTCTGGACAGTCCACTGTCCTGCCCAATAGTTTGCGCAAGTTGAGCTCTTTCAGAGCCCACGTCTGGACCAAGTCGTGGAGCATTGAGGCCTCTTCACGCAGATAGCTGGCTTTGAAGAGGATTGGGTAGAGATTGTATGACAAGCAGTGGAGGTTCTTACATGCATTTGGGCCGGTTTGAACAAAGCCCTCGGCTGCTAGGAACTTCAAGCTCTTCATGGCTGTGTTTGTCAGCTCTCCCTGATCGGGAGTCTTCTTGGAGCTGTCAGCCTTTAGGAGACGTGGAGTGTTTCTTCTGCCCTCTTTCAACCAACATATAGATGTGCGTCAAGCCAAGAACAGAAGAGTGCTGAGCGAGAGCATGAGGGGGATAGTCAAGAGGGGGTTAGTTATTTATAGAAGCAGCTGTCTCGTACTCTCATGACTAACAGCATTTAGATTTTTAATGGCTGGAAAGAAAAAAGAAGTCTCTTACGTGTGACCATCAATGGTTACATTCTGTGGCTGTAGGAAAAATTTGGTATTTTCTGGGTTAACCATTGAGAATTGTTAAATCTAACGTAATTGTGCCATAAATATATTTTTAGGATATATTTTCCAAAATTCCTGAAAAAAAGGTTAAAGGAAAAAGAAAAAAGTATATTCTTAAGGTGCTGCAAAATGTCTTTTGTTAAAAGTTTAACAATGCATGGAGCACCACTCACACATTAGGCACCTTAAAACCAAACAATTTTCTTTGTCAACGTGCTAAATTTGTATGGCCAATTTAAACATGAGCAAAGTCTATGTGGGGAACTTCTTACGGAGCCCCTCAAGGAACATGGTGATGTAAAAAAAAATTAATGGGAGGAAAATTTTTATTTTTAGTACGCTTGCTCACAAAATAGTGTTCATCAACATTGTTTGTGCAGGTCTCATATCATTGAAAAAAAGTGGTTCAGCCCCTTTTATTGCTGAAATAATCCAGCTTTGTGTGTTTGGCAGATGAACCACCTGCATGTTTGTTTTTACAAAAAAATAAATAACACTGCTTATGAGAGTTTGCTACTCGGTCAGTCATTCAGGAGTTTTCAGAACTCTTATGTAGGGTGGTAATGGTGATGGTGGTGATGGTGATGCTCATGATGATGATGGTGTTCATGTCTTTGAGGAACAGGCATAAAACCCCCAGGAGGAACAGCTGGCCCAGGCTGTAATTCTCTGTCATGGTTACTTCTGGAAGGTGATGCAGTCTCACGGGCTCGTGCTCGGGTGCGTTTGCTGGAGCTGTACAGCAGAGGTTGCTGCTGCTGCTGTTGAGATGGATGGCACCAGGTCATAGAGTGATGCCTATGGAGCTTGCTGGGTTTGGTTGAGGCTCCACTATAACCGACAGACTTGCTGCGGTTGCGGAGTGACCTGAGGAAAGGAATGGATTTTCCAGATGACTCCGCAGGGCTGCAGGTCTCAGGTTGAGAGCGACGATGATGGTTATAGGAAGAGCCGTCCTGAGGCTGCTCCTCAGCACATGTTTCTGGAGCTATGATAGTCACATAAATTATATTTAAGGAAGCTCTAAACATCTAGTCTTCTAGAATTAGAATAGAGTAAAACTGAGCTCAGCCATTTTTACTGGCCTTATGAAAAATATCTTGCTGAAAAGCAGAGAATAAATATTAAGCTATCAACTTCAAATTGAGAAGTATAGTTCTCAATTCCAGCCAGATAGTGATTCCTACGTTCTGTGTTTTCATCTACAGAGTAGTGCTTCCTCTCCGAAACACCCAAGTGATCCAAGTTCAGTTGTCTGACAGAAGAAAATCATAGAACAGAAATCACATTATTAAATATTGTATCAGTGGTGTTGTTGTTAACTAAAACAATTTAAAAATGTTTCATTAATTGAAATAAAGCTTAAAATAAAATATTAAAAGACAAAAAGCTTTATTAGAAAACATTATTAAAATTAGAAATGTTGGCAAATAGTTGAAATAAGCACTATGATTACTAACATTTTAATTTAAAATTAGCAAAAAATAAAGAACTCAAATTCAATTGAAAACTGAAATATAATTAATACGAAAAGATTAATAAATACTTTATTAGTAATTCATTCATTCTAAAATAACACTGAATTTTAACTATAATTTTACTTCATTTTGTTATAATTTTGTTCTCCTGGATAAATAAAACACTTCTTATATAAATATTTCAAGAAAAACGTATGATTCACTCATATACTGAAGACTAAAAAATTAAAAAAAAAAAAAAAAAAATTTAAATCACCTGATCTGAGAATGAAGGATCTCTGCACACTGTACTGCATCCTCCATTTGATCCCGCTCATTTTGAGACATTCCAGCATCCCGATCTCAAGGAGTACAAAAGTAAAAAAAGGAAGTGAGTAACATTGCATTATAACAAGATTATTTCAGCAGAGTGATCAAACACTGCCTTAACCATTTGTTTATCATGATAGGTTCAGTCTTCACCTTTTCTGTTGCCTTTTCTGCCAGTTAATGGAGTGACACTCAGCTTCACATGCAGGGTTGTGGCATTGCTAAGCACCAGCTGTTTGACTGATGCCTCAACCACCTCACAGATCGTTTGCATCAGGCTCAACATATTCTGCAACAAACACAAGGAGAGAAACTCACCAATAGCTAAATGATTGTTTATCTCTTTAATGAGATGGTAGGTCTTCTGTCGATACTGAGCTTTACCTCTCTGGTTATTTTCCCATTGTTGTCCAAATCATACAATGTAATCATCCACTCTTGCCGATTTTCATCCATGACAGACACATTACACTCCTTGTCCTTATATCAACAGCACAACAATGGAAGGATTTGCAATCATTTTTGTATCAGCATGACAATATGTTTATTGATCAAGATAGCCTACAGCTCAGAAAACAATTCTCAAATTTTGAGTAAAGTTTTAGCAAAGCACTCTTCGTTACCATTTAAAGGGGTCATATGACGATGCTAAAAAGAAAATTGTATGTATTTGGTGTAATGAAATGTGTTTATGCGGTTTAAGGTTATAAAAAAAAAAAAAAAAAAACATTTTCCAATACTGTACATTGTTTCTCCTCTATGCCCCGCCTTTCTGAAACGCAAAGCTCATCGGTCTGAAAAGCGAGGTGTGCTCTGATTGGCCAGCTATCCAGTGCGTTGTGATTGGCTGAATACCTCAAGCTGTGACGGAAATGTTACGCCCCTTACCACACTGTGATGCCGTGTCCCAGCCGGAGCGATGAGACAAAAACATTAAAACTCATTATAAACGAGGCATTTGTTGGGGACATAATTACGGATTATAATAAGTTACACTGTCTTTTTACGCGTTGCATCGCGCAGCGTAAACATAAAATGGATAGGTGAAATTACAAACAAGCGCTACTTTACACTGCTCAAAACTCACGTTTGAATCATCAGTGGCAAATTCTTTAAATATGAAAACGTACTTGGAGTCTGTGAGTCAGAGACAACACCAATAAAACCCATTACAAACGAGGCATTTGTTGCATCCAGTGGGGACATAATTACGGATTATAATGACTTATACTGTCTTTTTACGCATTGCATCGCGCCATGTAAACATAAAACCATGTCTGCATTTGTGATTGGAGAACTTACAAACAACAAGCACTACTCTACACTGCTCAAAATTCGTGTTTGACTAATCAGTGGCAAATTCTTTAAATATGAAAACGTACTTACAGGCTGTGAGTCAGAACAGCCGGCATTGTAGGCTACTTTACCAGGATCAGGAAACAGTCCTCCATAAAATGCGCACACATCTGAATATTTGGGTTGAACTGTTCTGGAACAGTGTTGCAAATACAACTTAACCACTGATTTCTAGTTGTGTCCTCTTTTGGAAGGCCAAACAAAGTAGTTTCAATTTTGCAACGAAACACAGTGTCTTCACAACATGGTGGAGGTGGCAGCAACAATAAAGGTACGCCTTCTTTCTTTGTGTGAACATTTGGGCGGCATTATGCAAATCTTCCCACATCGTGACGTAGACATGTGGGGGCGTGTTTGAACGAGGCATTTTAGGAGGGCGTGGACGAGTCT